TATATATATATATATATATATATATATATATATATATATTTGTTTGTGTTGTGTGTGGTGTGTGTTCAGTTCTATGGTCTTGTCTGTATCACTCCTGTGTAGATGGGTTGGCTCGTCTCCCTTTGAGTGTGCCGCTGCTGCAGCGCTTAGATTATTTATCTTCATACTATGCATTGGTGGTGACATCGATAGCTTTTGCTGCAGTAGGTTCTGCTGCAGCAGAGTTGCTGCTGCTGCTGCTGCTGCTGCTGCTTCTTAGTTTTAGAGTTCTACCAGAAACATTTCAACCCATTGATGCTGCATGCTTCGTCGCCATCTGTCTCCTTCTCCCCCTCATCACCCTAGCAGCAAAAGCTTGGCTCTTATGGAGGAGACAAAAAGAAGAGGAGACACTGCAGCTGCAGATACACCAGGAGCTGCAGCACTGGCAGCCCCAAGACATTAAGTGGCTTGATAGTTTGTCTGGGGTACCGAAGGAAAAGGAGACAGTCCCCAGCAGCCCAGAAGAGCAGCAGCAGCAGCAGCAGCAACAGCAGCAGCAGCAGCAGCAACAGCAACACTCAGAGCTGCAGCAACTCCTCACAAATAAAATGATGGAGACAAGAGAAAATATATGTATACAGGCGCTGGGGCAAGCAATAGCTAGGCTTGAGGCTGCGGGTAGATGTCGTATAGAGATGTGCAGCAGCAGCTGCTGCTGCAGCAGCTGCAGCAGCAGGCGTGCATATAATTATATGGATGGATTTGTGTGTTATATAAAGGAGAGCAGCAAGAAGCTGCTGCCACTGTCTAGAGAACAACAAATACACAGAATAAATACAAATATAAAAACACAACACAAACCCTCTCTTACCTGGAGCGCATGCATAGGCCTCGCACTCACTGACACAGCCCCCAGGCCAGAACTCCTCGCCCTCGGCCTCCTCCTAGCTGCCCTCGGTGAGCCCCTGCCCCCGCTGTCTCCTACATACACACACACACACACACACACACACACACACACACACACACACACACACACATACATACATACATACNACACACACACACACACACACACACACACACACACACACACACACACACACATACATACATACATACGTACATACATACACAGAGACATGCAGAGACATACACAGAGACATACACAGACACACACACACGATATGCATATATATATATATATATATGTATGTATATATATATATATATATATGTTGTGTGTATCTGTCTCCTTTAGGCGTTGGTTGTTTCAGTGTGGGTGAGTTGAGCGCTTACTACTGGCTGCTACACTCTTGCTGGCATGTCTCCATCCAGCTGGCGACGTGTTGTATACTTTTGTCTCTATTGGAGCATCCGCTGCTGTCTCAGCTGCGCTGCAGCAGCAGCAGCAGCAGCAGCAGCAGCAGCAGCCAAGGCCCCACAGGAGGCCCTGAGTGCAGCACCCCTATACGTTCTCTAAGTGAAGCTGTTGCCTCAGGAGACAGACAGCTCCATGCTGCTGCTGCTGCTTCTGCTGCTGCTGCTGCTGCTGTCGGCCAACCAGTATTCAGCAGCAACACACAAAACTCTCTCGCAGATGCTTTCTGGCGAGTGCTGCAGCACAGCCAGATGCAGCTGCTGGCCCTGCAGGTGCAGAGACAGGAGGCCCCCTCCTATACTACCACTGCAGCAGCAGCAGCAGCAGCAGCAGCAGCAGCAGCAGCAGGAGCAGCAGGGGGGCATCTGCAGCAGCAGACAGTCGGGCTTGAGTCTCTGTTGGGGGTGTTGACCCCACACCCCACACCTCATCAGCTGCTGCAGGCGTTCACTCGTCTCCTTGTGTTGCAATACAGCGCACACAGGAGACACCGGGTGGAGTTTAGTAGTAGTAGCCAGAGGAGACAGCAGCAGGGCAATGGGGGCGAGCTGCTGCCGTCTCCTACATATGGAGAAGAGAATCTCCATAGAGTAGGCACAGCCTCTTCTCTGTCTCCTCCGTCTCCTTCTCCGCACAGTGCTAGCAGCTCAACCAGCCCCACAAACTCAGATGTCTCCTCAGACTCTGCATGCAGCGAGTGGACAGAGTCTGGGTGTCTCTGGTGTATAGCGAGGAGACTGTTGACAGAGGGGGAGCTGCTGAGGCTGTATATAGAGAGAGTTAAGTGGGCCTGTCGTCTGCGCCTGTCTCCTTCTCTCAGCTCTTTGAGGCCCCCACACTGGCTCTTACACCCCGAGGAGACAGCAGCAATACCTATACAGAGACACCTCAGTATACCACAAGCAGATGTTTTCTTATATTCTTAGGCCTCATAACAAACAAACAACTGTCTCCAACTGTCTCCTTGGCCATAACAAACTCTTGGCGCTTTCACTCCATCAACAGCTGCAACGCCTGCTGCTCTTGCTGCTGCTGCTGCTGC